GATGGCAACGAGGTCGGAGTATCGCAAAAATCCGGAGTACATGAGGATAGGGATCAACCCCTTCTGAAATTCAGCGGGATTGTCCGACTGCAAGTAGTTCGCGGACATGTCCCGAACTTGTTGGATTGATACGGGCTCCTTCAAACGACTAGGGCGAGGGCAGTGTCGTTTCGCGTAGTCCCGCACTTGGGTGGTAAACGGTCCGACAGTCGGGCATTTGCTTCCAGTCATGCGATGGGCGAAGCTGACTGCCGAGCACGTGAGCTGCACTACAGACAAGGTTGCTTTGCGTTGGATTGCATGCACCAAGTATAGCGCGAGGGTCATGTCGGATGCGGGAAGAAATGGAAGATCCACCTTTGTGCAGAAGGCCCGAAACTTGGCCCAGTACGGTTCGTATGTACGGATTGTCGAATTCGCTCGCGATTGTGTGAGCATGTTGATGAGTTGGTTGTGTAGCTTTGGGAGCGGATCTGGACACAAGGCGCGTACATTCTCAATTAGTCAAAAACCACCCGAAGTGCGATGATTGGGCTGTGTGGTAATCCAGTGCCTGAAAAAGCAGCGGAATGTGTTCCAGCTGCCAGGCATTGGCTGCCGTGTGTCAAGGGAATGTGCGCGTGGATGTACGGTGCCCAGTTGCGTGGGGAAGGTTGTAAAAGTGGCCACCAGTTTGCACCCGGCCAGTGTGGGATGATCAATGTGAGCGATGCACGGGTGCGCTGTGCGTGATGGAGGACGGCCGGAACTAAATGGGGCGGGGGGAACGCAAAGCTATTTTCTGATGTCCATGCGAGCGAGAATGCATCGACTGCGGTGGCTTGTGGATGAGGAATTTTAGTGCAGAAGCGTGGCAGCTGGGAGTTGCGGGAGTTTGCAAAGAGGTCGATGGAATGGGGACCCCAACGCCGTTCTAAGATGCGGAACCACGGCGTCTTCAACGAGTAGTCATCATGATCGACTGCTTTTGAGAGCTCATCGGCGTGTGAGTTTAGCTCCCGTGGGATCCATTCGATGATTAGACGCGTGCCGTGCTCCATGCATAGTCGAATGATGTCTTGGCAGGCCGTGGTAAGGTCGGGGCTGCGCGAGCCACCTTTGCGAAGGATGAAGAAGACGCCCTGATTGTCCACCCGCACAAGAACATGTTTGTGCGTGATCTTGCTGGAGTATGTTTGGAGTGCCCAAAGCACACCTTCGATCTCCCTCCGTGTGCTGGACGTCGCTCGCAGCGGCTCTGGCATTGTTGCGCTAGCTTCTTCGAGGCCGCCAGGAAATGTGGTCAAAGTGGCGCCCCAACTGTGAGCGCTAGCATCCACATGGATGACAGCGTCGTAGCTGTTTCGAACGTGAAACGGTGCACCGTTGAACCTGTCAAACTCTTCGAGCCAGAAGTTTAGCTCCTCAGCCGCGTTTGGGGGGATGATCACGCTGCTTTTCCATGAAGGTGCGTCATTGATCACTTGTAGCATGGCGTGGCTGAAAGCACGAGCTGTTGCGCCCAGCGCGACGCCCATTGACGCGAGCATGCCTGTGATTCTGGCCACTTGGCGGACTGAGACGGGTCGACATGCCTTGCTTGCGCTCAACAGGTTCCGAATGATTGCATGTAGTGAGGCTCGTCGTTCGGGACCGATGGTAAATCGGCCTGTGGCCGTGTCTAGCTCCACACCCAAGAATCGAAGGTGTTGCGATGGTGACAGCTGTGATTTCTTCGCATTTATCACCAAACCTGCTGCTTTAAGGTCCAGTATTACACGGTGGCAAGTAGCCTGCGCGTGAGCTTTTGACTGGCAAAGGAATAAGATGTCGTCCACGTATGGTACTACTCGGATGCCTTGCTCCCGCCAGCGACGGGCTAGCTGCTTGATGAGTTGCGTGAAGATGAATGGAGCTGTCGCAAGACCGAACGGCAATGAACGAAAGGAGTAAGTGCGCCCATCGAATCCAAAACCGAGAAACTTCCAGCATGAAGGATGGATATCGATGTGATGGTACCCGGATTTGAGATCAATAGAAAACATCCAATCCCCAGCGCGTGCCACGTCTGCCACACGGCTGAGTCCTTCGTACTTGAATTTTGGGACGATGAGGTTTGTGTTGACTTTTCTCAGGTCGAGGATGAGCCTGCATTTTTCTTTCTGCTCGACCACGTTAAGTGGGCTTATGCACGTAAGCTCGCTTGCGGCTGTCTCGACTGCAGCTCCGGTCTCTGTGAGTTCTTGGATGGCAGTACGTGTGAACGACGCATGCGCGTATGCACCAGCGTGGTTACGCTCCCGAAAGGCCTGTGGTGGGCCGTGGCTCCATGGAAGCCAGTAACCGTTGGCGATGATGGATAGGACGAGGCTGCAAGGGCACCATGAGCTCCACCACGCAAAGGTCGAGCGAAGCCGACCGCACATCCGTGTGACGGTTTTGTCCGTGACGGCGAATTCGTACGGGCCATCGTCGCGAGGCACCTCGTATTGTTGTGCTCCTGTATGTACGGCAAGGAAATGAACGCGAACAATCAGGTTGCACGCCTTAATTAGTTCATGCGTGTGACATATACATGCATGCGCGAAAAATGAACCGTCAACAGTGAGGACCATACGGACGGTTTGTCGTCATTCCATATAGGGCGTCCGATCGCACCTTGGCAAACTCTTTCTCATACTCTCTCCTTTTCCCTCCCCTCGTTTTTTTTTTTTTTTTTTTTTTGGAGGATTGATGCTTGGGACCATGATCATGCTTCCCTCGTGTGCTCTCTCTCTCTCTCTCTCTCTCTCTCTCTCTCTCTCTCTCTCTCTCTCTCTCTCTCTCTCTCTCTCTCTCTCGCTCTTTCTCTCTCCCTCTCTTTTTGGATGTGTTTCCATTGTTGTTTGAGCATTTGCATGCTTCGCTTGTCATGAGCTCGTGTCTTTTCGCGCGTGCCTTTACTTGGGCTAGGCGACATCGCTATGCCCTACTCCCCCCCCCTTGCTCCTTCTCACCCTTTTTGGGCTTCCAACGGTTGAACCAGGGCTGCTCATCCTTGCCATGCATGGTGGCGGTTTGAGTGAGGAGCGTACGTACTCTCTTTTTCTCCCTCTCCCCTTCTCCTCCTTCTTTTTTTTTTTTTTTTTTTTAATCCGTGACAAACAAGAGGGGCCTTTAATAAAATCCCTATCTCTCATGGTCATACATTGTCATGCCTACTAGCATGTTTCTCATCCCATCAATTGGGGCATACAAGGGACCGAGAGGCATTCTTCCTCTTCCCCAAAGCTAGACCTACGGCCATACTTTATTACCCTATCCTAGGGGACCGAGAGGCATTCTTCCTCTTCCCCAAAGCTAGGCCTATGGCCAACTTCTACCACCCTATCCTAGGGCTGGCCATGGCCACCGCAAGCCCTACTAGGCTGCCCACGGTCTAAGCACTCAAAAGTGCACCGTGCATCGCGCCTAGAGGCGCGCTTCACCATAGCCCGAACCTTACACAACCGGTGCGGGTCCTTGGCCCCCATGCCCATTCCGAGGGCAGGCATTGGCGACGTGGCCTGGCTGTCCGCAGCGGAAACACGAACCACGAAAGCCTTGGAAGTTGCCCGAGGTTGGAGGGCCACGTTTTGGGGCGAACGCCTTGGCGCCGTGGTTTCCACCACGGTGGGAGCGAGCGTGAGCGCCCGCCGCTCGGTCCATGGCAGCCACGTCCGCGACGGCTTGCTTGAACGGCCGCGAGGTGAGAAGGCTTTTCTCCAGGTACATCTTGTAGCGCTTGGCAACGCGGTCGTCGGATGCGTCTTCGACTTGAAACATGTCGAAGCGCGCGGAAATGTCGTCGAGGGCGGCGACGACCATTTCGAGTCCGCCCGCCGAGTCGCCGTGCTGCAGCTTGTGCTCTGCGTGTTTCAGGTAGGCCCGCATGTCCTCCAGAATCTCCGCTTTCGCCCGCACGTGCTCGTCGTTGAACGTCGCCGCCGACCAAGTGGTGTTAGTAGTAGAGGGGAGGGGGGGAAGATGCTCCATGGAATGAAAATTTGCGGTATGGACCGGAGCCTCACCATCATCGTCGTCGGAGCCGTCGGTGTCGTTGTCGGCCGCTGGCGCAGGTGGGATGCTGGCTGGTGCTTCCTTGTTGTGCCGGGTCGCCGTTGTTCCTCGCGCTCCTTTTTCTTTTTTTGCGTTTTCCTTGTTAGCAGATGCAGACGCCGCGGGTTGTGCAATTTCCGTAGCTGTCACGCTGGCGGGTTGTTGCTGTAACAGGGACAGAAGCGCAGCGACCTGGTCCGGAGTCAACGCGTTGGTCAACGCCGGGGTCGTCGCGTCAGAAGAAGTCGATGTTCGGCGCCTCTGGCGCTGACGCGACGGTCCAGCCACAGGCGCCGGCGTGTGCTCCGCGTCAGGCGCGTGTGGCACCCCAGGTGCTGCAGGTGCCGCCGTCGCCACTTGCGCCACACGCGCCTCAGGCGCCACAGGCGCCACAGGGGCCGAGGGGTGCTGCTGCTGGGGCGGGCTCGAGTTTTTGTTGACCTCAAGCCCGCCCAACAGCACGTCCACGGCAGTTGGGGCGGGCGATCCTTCCTCTGCCCGCCGCTTGTTACGGCGATCGCCCGTCATTTCTCGGGCGTTACGGTCGGAGTCGGAAACCGGCGCAGACGAATTGACGCGGTTAAGTGCCGGCGTAGACGCCATTGTAGATCGATTGTGGTTGAAAATGTCTTGCAGAAGTGTTGAGGGTGACTCGCCTCTGGGAAGGGTGCGAGTTCTAGCCAGCTTGGACGGGGAAAAGAACTACTCGAACGGAAATGTTGATTGAGCCGTTGGAAAACGAGAAACGTGGGTGGAGGGAATGAGCTCCAACCCACGGTTTTTGTAGTTGGAGAAGGGCGTTTAGCGCGCTTCGACGCTGCCAAATATTCGGTACAGTCAGCTTCGCTTTCACAATACACAATTTTGAAAAACATCAATGTGTTTAAAAATTATAATTTTGCAAAGGTGCAGGACTGATGATAAGGGTTGCTTAAAACAAAAAATTAGCCCTGGTCGGCATGCTCCACAAAGTGGACACAAGGCATGCTTTAGGCATAACGTAGAAAGGCGTATACATCACTGAACCACACAGAAACAATGTACCTACTTAAATTTGACGAACGCGTAAACTACTACATTGGGAATAGACGCGGTCGGGTCCATCAATAAACCTCTTGTACGTGCATTGTACTCCACTGCATCGATTCCATCCGAAGACAGTTCCATCCGAAGACAGTTCCTTCCTTACTCATCCTCGTCCTCATTGTCATCCTCATCATCATCATCCTCATCCCCATCCTCATCCTCATCCTCATGCTCAATCTTCTCCTCGTCATCATCCTCATCATCAAACTCATCACTATCGCTATCATCATCACCATCTCCCCCCCCCCTCCCTCCTCACCAACCACCGGAAACCACAACTGACCCTCAACCATGAACCACTCCTCCTCATCCAACCTATACCCTGCCATCAGCCCCAGATTCACACTGTGCATTTTATCCCGAACGCTCTTCCGCCCATTCCTGAAAGAAGCGCTACCCTTCCCTCCTCTCGGCCCCCTCACATGCGCCACCGGCCCATCAATCAACCTCATCCCTTTCCTCTCCCAGTACCACGTGTGCCTTGCAACACAGTACAGCGCCAGAGACGGATACCTCGCCTTGAGATCTCCCAGCAGGGCTGTGGGTGTGTCGCCGAGGGTCGGGAAGAAGATGGCTCCCAGATTCGGAGCGTTGATGCTTGGAGGAATGCACAGAGAGGGGGAATGAGGCCTGTGTGCAGGTGCCTCATGCACCGTATCATTCAGGTCTCCACCAGCATCAACACCATCATAGTCGTCGGGTCCAACACCAACCAGCTGGTTCCCAAATGGGCTGGCATGGAAGCGAGTCAACCCTCGACTCCACATATCGTGCTCCCTCTCCCTCCCCTCCTCCCTCCGATCACTCCGCTGGTCCCTCGAAAACTGTACATACTCGTTCCCATCTGCTTTCGCCACATCTTCCACCGCCATCTCCCAGCGAGGTTCGTTCCACGCAAAGTAATCGCTCTCCACGACAATCCCAAGGCTCCGCAACCGCGGCCAGGGGAATTTGCAGTCCGCAAGCTTGATGTCATGCCTCGCTATAAGCAGCTCCACTGTAGGCGCAAGTGCACGCAGCCAGTGCGCCGATGCGAATGGCAACGGCGGCGGGATAAACAGAAACGAATCCCCGCACACCTCCGCTTCTCGAACAGCGGCAGGGATGGGGGCAGGGCGCGGCGACAGAAATTTAACCGGAGCGTCGAGGTAAAGCGCACAGACAGAGGCAATGTCAAAAGAGGCAATATGGATCCTCTCTTCCCCAAACAGAAAAAGCTGGGTCAACGTTAGAGGGCGGGCAGAGTGGCAGGCGAGTGTGAGGGACAGAGCAGAGGTTGCGAAGGAGGTGAGAGAATCAGAAGCAAGGGAGAGTTTCAGCTTGAGCTCGTGGTTAAGGAAGCGGAAGGAGAGGTGACGAGCCCTGGGGAACTCGAGGCACAGCAGCACGGGTCCTGTGAAAGCTCCCCGCCCCGCCCCCTCCTCCACCTTATGCGGCTCGCGGAACGTGAATTCGTGCAGCTGAGGTGCAATGGCGGCCAGGGCTTTAAGAGAGATGCCCCGGGGTCCACATTTTTTAGGGTTAAGCTGCGAAGGGACTGCATCCAGGGGGCGGTGAGGCAGCCTTTACCTAAGCGCCAGGCGTCGCGTCCGAGTGTGAGGGAGTGCAGGGAGGAGCAGGGAGTGAGAAATGCCAGATACCAGTGGCTCTTACGGTAATCCTCCTTTGGGAAGGATTCTCTGATGCTCAGAGTTAGGTGCAGGGATGAGATGGAGGAGGGGGCGGGGGAGGAGGGGAGAGTGAAGGGGCGGCGGATGAGGGGGATGAGGGAGGGGTCGGAGAAGGAGAGGCGGAGGGAAGGGAAGGTGGGAGAGGAGCGGGAGAGCAGCCAGCGCACGCTGGTGGTCCACTGGGGCTGGGCGGAGGTGAGGTGCAGACTGATAGGCGTGCCGTGTTCCTGGAGTCGGACGCGAGGGGGAGGGAGGGGGGAGGGAGGGGGGAGGGAGGGAGGGAGGGGAGGAAAGGGGATAGGGGAAAGATGGAGGGAGGGGAGAAAGAGGGCAGAAGGTGTGAGAGCGCGAAAAGGTGGAAGTGGAGGTTATCAGCTGAGAGTCCAGCACTAGGCGTAGTGAGGGAGAGAGGGGGAGAGCGAGCATGGGACTCATGGAGAAGGAGGCGACGAGGTGGAGCAGCCTCTTGCTGGCGAGCGCGCAGCACAGCAGAGGCCACGAGGACCCGAACGTGCGAGCGTTGTGCGCATGCAGCCAGCACGGCGACACCCCGGCCTTCACGAACACCACGCTCTCCTTCGCCTCCTCCTCCTCCTCGTCGCTCTCCCCTGCACTGCCCTTGCCTTCGTCCTCGCACTTGCCGTTACTGCTCTTGCCCGTGCTGCTGCTGGCGCAACTCTCAGCGTTCCGTGGGTCGTTGGTGCCAGCACGATTCGCAGCGCCACGATCACCACCATTGGCATTCGCCTTGGTGGCATTCAACTCTGCTCGCTGCGCCGCGCTTAGCGCGCGGCAGTAGTAGCGGCCGCCCGCGGAGTGCGGAGGGGTGGCGATGCATCGGCGCTCGAGCAGCAGGCTGAAGATGCGGTGCCAGAGCGCCGCTGGTAGCGCGTCGATCACATAGCTGCCCTGATCTGAAAATGAGCGAGAGGAAGAGTGAGAGGGGGAGGACGAGGGTGGGAAAGGGAGATGGATAGGGAGAGGGAGAGCGGAAGAATACAGACAGAAATTCGAACAGTGATTTAGGGACTGAGAAGAGAACAAGAGGTGCGTTGGGATGCTGAGGCCGAGCGGTATCTGCTTCTGGATTTAGGAATGAATACGGGCTGGAAAGAGCTTCTATCTCGACTACAAAAACTTCTCCTGAGATGAGGAATGAAGGTGGATATGAGGGAATACAACACAAGTGGAGGGAGGGACGCAAGTTGCCAGGTTATCTGGTTGTGTGGAGGGATAGGGAGAGTTTACTGGGAAGACGTCAATTCTGATTGCCTTGTTTCTCGAGCCTAGATGCGAGGCGACGGAGGTAAAATCAATGGCTGCGTCGCGATAAGGTCAAGCTACGATGAACATGGGTCCTTGCCTCCGGGGTCAACGTCGTCCTGACGGCTATCTTCCCTCTGCCTCTTCCTCTCGCGTGGTTCGCTCGTCCCTCTCATTTCGCCAGCTGGATCCTCAGCAGCTCCCAGCGAGAATGCTATGACAATCGCGTGACGTCAAATTACTCGTATCACCGGCTATAGAAGTGCTCTTGCCTCTCAACAATCCCTCGTTCTCATAATCACGGTGACTTGAGCACATTACTCTGCCGGACTCGACTCACGTTTCTCTCACTCGGGTGGATCTTGGTCTAGAGACAACTGGATACTTCGACGCATAGAAACCATGCAAATGATGAATATCCAACAGAAGCATCTGAAAACAAAAATGTTGTGCTCAAACTCAAACGGCTCGTCCTGACGGGAAACGTTTCCTGTCAGAGTCGACCCGACGCGATGCAAGTGATACCGTAAACGTAATCGGTTAGGAGTGGCTTGTCAAAATCAGAAATGCACAATTTGTTATTATACGAGATGGAATACTGGTACCGTACCTGCATCCTCCCTACCTTAGTATGAGCTCAAAATTGATCAGGAGGGGTGTAAGGAAAAATCCTTTTCCTTACTTCGCATCCCTGCTCAACGCGTACATCACTGTAGCACCACCGTCAGCACCGTTACCACTCGCAACCCTCGCATCGACAATCCTCCCGCCACCTTCGCACATCGCACCCGGACCTCACGGCTCGGCTGGTAACCCGCGCTCCGGGCCTCCGCTTCGACACTTTTCCCAACCTGTCCCAGGCCCGTCACGCGACAACCACAGTCCATTACCGTTACCACTGTAGTTTCGCTATATATTCTTCGCTCATGCCTTCGCTCATTGGACTCTTGCTTCGATACTCCAATTCTCGTTCGTTCACTCAATTGCACTCGTAACACTTGGTATTCAGAGCCTACGATCTCTTCTTGGACCGCACCCACACCTTCGCTTCCCCACTATCTCAATTTTGGGGGGGGGTAGACGTCTCTCAGCGACACAACACCGCCGCTCGTAGTGCTCTCTCGTAAGCACGCACGGCCACGACCGAGGCTCTCGCTGAGCTCGCCCGACACCCCCGCCATGGCCGAATTCACGCTCGCCACATTGACGCAGGAGTAGCTCGACCGTCTGGTGCGCCAACTTGAAGATTCGGCGCTCCAAATTGTGACGCTCACGGCGGAACGTGACTCCGCGCGTCAGCAATCAACGATGAACACTCCAGCGCCACCACACGCACCGACAAATGCATCTGCACAATCGGACGAGCCGATCGTCATCTCGTCCGGCACACCAACACAAAACAACAGCGTGGGACAACGCTCAGGCGTAGCCAGCGATGGCGCCGCCCAGCTGATGCATGGCATGGGAGGAAACAGGGTCAAACCAAGCCCGCGGGAGCCTCGCGAAGCCCGTCGGCACGTGGAGTTCGCGGTGAAAAGTGGCGAACAGGCCATTATGGCACCAATGCCACTCAAGCCGCAACGCCCGCCCTCCTTCAACCCGAGCCAGCGTGGAGGTCCGACGGTTCAATTGTGGGTCTTCACGATAAACGTCTTCTTCGACGCGAATTACGTCGAGTCGGACGCAGCAAAGATTCGGTATGCCGTTTCGCTGCTAAGGGGCCCCGTCATGGACTGGTGGCGAGTCATCGTGATGTTGCCACGCGCCTACGAGCCACCGTCGCAAGAGGAAGGGCCCACGGGTCCAGCTGTCACCTGGAGTTCATTCTGCGAGACCGCCCAATACAGCACGTGGGATGCGTGATGCGCAGGGCTTCGGGCGCGCTTCGAGCCGATCGTGGCTTCTATTTCGGGGCGTCAGAGATTGCGCACTTGGCGGCATCTCGGATCGGTTCAAGACTATACGAGTGGTTTTCTCGCATTATGCGAGCAAGTCGGCTACATGCACGTTGGAGGGCTGAAGTCGGACATCTTGCACGAAATCATGCTACGCGGGCTCTCGAACTTCAACGAGATTCTCGCGCTCGCCGAGAAAATCGATATTTTACGCCGTCTGAGACCGGGGTCCTACTATGGACATCGTCCTCGGGGACCAATCGAGCACGCCACTGTATACGCTGTTGCGACGAATGCAGTTGCCGCACCGTTTAAGGGGCGCTGCTTTGCTTGCAATAGGCCGGGCTATCGCAAGAGCGAATGCCCAGAGGAGCTAAGGCGCCGCGGAGCAGAGCAGGGGAGGGAGTCTCTAAGGCAGGGAAACGCCAGCAGTCAGTAGGAATCGGGCCAACTACTGACGAGATTGCCTGCTCGCCCAACCCCACCGATCCTCACCAAGTCACGGTACCGATTCATGCTATCGATCGAACTCGGACGAATAAGGAGGGTACAGCGATGAATTGCCCAGTACTGATCCACAGAAAAATACAGGGAGCAGCAGTGAAGAATTTTATCGATGGAGGAGCAAGCCACAGTTTAGTTAATACCGCAACCGCACCAAAACTGCAATTGACACTTAGCCGTTACTTACCGGAGATAGACGCACGCTTAGTCGACGACACGCCACTGGCCATATGTGAAAAGGTAGAGAGAGTCAAAGTCTGATGCGGGGGGAATTTCGGGTTTACACAGGATATGCTCGCAACGACATTGGATGAGCACGATATTTTGCTGGGACGTGATTGGCTACGACGGTATAACCCGCGAATTGACTGGACGACGGGTAGCTGCACCGTGCGAAGTAGTGGTAACTGGGTCGAGCTACCTCGCTGGCAGTGGCCCGAGCCTTCAACGGTACACGTCAACGTCGTCACAATGAAATGGGCTGTCGCTGCTGGAGCTGATGTGTACGCAGTAGACATTGCAGTAGTAGAGGGAGCAGAGCAGCCGATTTTCTGCCCGCCGTGCGCCCCGAGGCGAGCGGCGGGTTCCTACCTGGTCGCGACGTCTTGGGGGCCCGCGCACTGACCCCGACCGTCGCCTCGTCGCGGCGTTTTGGGGGCCCGCACGCAGCTCCCTCCCGTCGCCTCGTCGCGGCACTTTCGGGGCCCGCGAGCCGGCCCCTCCCGTTGCCTCGTCGCGGCGCCTTAGGGGCCTGCGCGCGGTCCCCTCTCGTCGCCCGTCGAGGCACTTTCGGGGACCTGCGCGGCTCCCTAGCACGTCGCCCGTCAGGGCACAATGGGGGCCGCGCCCTTCCCCTCCCCTCCCTCCTACTCGCCCCCGGAGCAGCCGCCACAGCAGCAGCAGCCACTGGAGCAGCAGCCCCAGCAGCAGCAGCACCTAGAGCAGCAGCCCCAGTAGCAACAGCCCCTGGAGCAGCCGCCCCAGCAGCAGCGACCCCTGGAGGAGCCGCCCCAGCAGCAGTAGCCCCTGGAGCAGCCGCCCCAGCAGCAGCAGCCCCGGGAGCAGCCACCCAAGCAGCAGCTCCTGGAGCAGCCGCCCCAGCAACAGCAGCCCCAAGAGCAGCCGCCCCAGCAGCAGCCCCTGGAGCAGCAGCCCCTGGAGCAGCAGCCCCTAGAGCAGCAGCCCCAGCAGCAGCAGCCACTGGAGCAGCCGCCCCAGCAGCAGCAGCACCTGGAGCAGCCGCCCCAGCAGCAGCAGCCCCTGGAGCAGCCGCCCCAGCAGCAGCCGCCCCAGCAGGAGCAGCCCCAGCAGCAGCAGCCCATGGAGCAGCAGCCCCAGCAGCAGCAGCCCCTAGAGCAGCCACCCCAGCAGCAGCAGCCCGTGGAGCAACCGCCGCTGCAGCAGCCGCCCCTGGCTCCTGCAGCAGCCGCTCCTGGACCCGGTGCAGCCGTGGGGGGGTGGGTGTGGGTGATGGTTGTGGGGGTGTCGGTTGTGCGTGCCGTCCCCTCCTCCTCCTCCTCCTTCGTCTCCCAGTGCTGCAGCTCTCGCTGAGGAGGGTGGATGTGTAGGAGTCTGGGGTTTAGGGTTTAAGAGGGTGCTGTGGGTGTAGGGCTAGGGTTTGAGCAGGGTCGCCAGCAGCAGCAGCAGTCTGGAGGCTACAATCTCCGGTAGTCGCCAGTCGCCCGTGGGTCCGTTGCTCGTCTGCCGCTACTTTTAGCCGCGGGTGTCAGAACATTGTATAGCTTATGCTGTTGTGTAGGCTATAGTGGAGTATCCCATAGGGGGTACAACCCAATTAGGGTTTCCTATTTGTACTCACTTCACTCATAGTTCATTCATTCTCGTTCAGTTCTTCTCATGGTATCGAGCAGGTTCCCCTGTGGGAACTGCACCTAGGGCCCACCACTCGATATTTCTTTTTTTTCCTGCCCGAAGCGCACTCATCCCGAGTCGCGCCTCGGGCCACCCTTTCACCGAGCCGCCCTAGCGGCCGGCCTTTCGATCGCGGCCCCGCCGCCCCTGCCTTCGCGGCTCTGCCGCTCCTGAACTCGCGGCCCCGCCACTCCTTACCTAGCGGCCCCGCCGCTCCTGAACTCGCGGCCCCGCCGCCCCTCCTGTCGCGGCCCCGCCACTTGCGGCCCTCGCCGCCCCTGCTCTAGCGGCCCCGCCGCCCACAACTCGCGGCCCTCGCCGCCCCTACTCTCGCGGCCCTCGCCGCCTCTGCTCTTGCGGCCCCGCCGCCCATTGCTCGCGGCCCCGCCGCTCGCGGCCCTCGCCGCCTCTGCTCTCGCGGCCCCGCCGCCCACCGCTCGCGGCCCTCGCCGCCTCTCCTCTCGCGGCCCCGCCGCCCCTACTGTCGCGGCCCCGCCGTTCGCGGCCCTCGCCGCCTCTCCTCTCGTGGCCCCGCCGCCCACTGCTCGCGGCCCCGCCGCCCCTGCTGTCGCAGCCCCGCCGCTCGCGGCCCTCGCCGCCTCTCCTCTCGTGGCCCCGCCGCCCACTGCTCGCGGCCCCGCCGCCCCTGCTATCGCGGCCCCGCCGCTCGCGGCCCCGCCACCCCTGCTTACGCGACACGGCCGCCCCAACACGCGGCCCCATCGCCCCTGCTCTCGCGGCCCCGCCGTCCCTGCTCTCGCGGCCCCGCCGCCTCTGCTCACGCGACACCGCCGCCCCTACTCACGGCCCCGTCGCCCCTGCTCTAACGGCCCCGCCACCCGGTACCGGAGCACCCGAGCCGCCCCGCCCCGAGCCGCCCTGCACCCGAGCCGCTTGGGAGCCGA